CTCTGGCATTAAAGAGCTTCTCTGTGGAAGGGTTCAGGCTACAGGTGACCACTACAAAGTCCGATGCTTTCAGAAGTTCTTCGAAGGAGGTCATCTTGACATTGCCATACTTCTGCTCCACTGCCCGTCATACTAGAAGTTAGCAGGAGTTGCCAGCTATACAGGGGGCAAATATTTACAATGAAATAACATCACTAGCTTTAATCACATGCTTGATAGAATCTTCAAGATTTCAGGTATCATCTTTTAGAGAATAATTATGTCATATTTGGTTAATATTGATCAGAACTATATATTCTTGAATGAAAAAAAGAAATGTTTTTGACCATGCAGCTTGACTTCTTGCTGATGTCTTTTTCTGTGCACCATCCTAAAAAAAAATTATGAATTAAAAGGGAATTTGATTATTGCTGAATATTAGCCTAAACTGTTGTTTGGTCAATTAAGAAAAGCCTAACCTGTAATAGATCTTTCTTATCTCCACTCAATCATATTAGGGTATCAAGCTTGTAACGCTTGTTGATGGTGTCTGTTGGGGAAGAGTAGAGCTCATCAATGGATATTGCCAATATAGTTAATATTGTGGTTTGGGGTAGTAGGTTGAGAATTGCATCCTGTAATAGATAAACTACCACATTAAATGCTATTGACCTTTACCAAACTCCGCCTTTGCCGGTCCCAAGCCCGGATGAAAAAGGAGGATGGGGAGCAGTAACAAGCTCACTAAAAAACCTGGGTTCAGCTGGCCCGGCTGATAGTACCCTGTAAGGGCGCCTAATCCAGGGATACAGGATGAGCAGCGTTTGTACTCCATGTTAGGAGCAGCTGCACATGGCATCTGTTCCTTATATCAGAGGCGACCATTTCTTTTGGAGCTAAGTTGGCCTGCCACTGAGTAGTGCTCCCAGTCTTAATGACAAAGGCAGACACATTCTACTTCACCCAATTATGATGGTTGTCAAACAGACACCATCAAGGGTCACAACTTGATACCCTAATATGATTGAGTGGAGATAAGAAAGAAAGAAGAAAAAAGAAGAAGACCTTTACCAGGTAACGTTTTTCTTAGCATTTTCTCCAATGTGTTTACTCATTTGTCACCTAGTATGTGTGTTCTTCGTTCAAAGTTGTGTGTAGATGAGAGTCTAATTCCTCGAGAGGTTCTTGGTAAAATTGATGTTTGCTTTCTTAACATCTCAATATTAGAGATGCCATACTTGAGAGGATACTCTCCTTAGAGAATACCTCTCACTTCCTTTGTCCTTAGTCCAGTTTTGTCCATATAGACACCAAAAGTCAAACTCAATTTGGACATGAACAATATGTTACATTTAGGTAGCAACACTGTTACACGAACATCACATCTAATTTATGTATTTGATTTTGATATAGTTGTATTGTGAAAAAATTGTACAAATGTGATATTGTACTGGGATATTCTGGAATAATTAAAAATCAACGAGAATAGTTGATATTTATTCTGATAGATGGCGCAAGCCATCAGCAACTTTCAGTTGCATGATAAGGAGATGCCTTTTTCATAATAGTTGTATTGTGTCGTAAAACTTTTGTTTTGATCACCAAAACAAAGCTTCAGTGATTCCTTTATAAAAAAAGGTGCCATGTAAAAGTCTTGAAATGAATATGGTAAAAGTGGGGGCATTTCAAGGGTGTGCATGTTTGTGGAATAGCAAAGAAAATGGTAGGTAAATGAGAAAGTACAATTTGGATTATAGATTATAATACAAGAAAATAAGACCTAATCCAAATAATTTATTAGTGTGTGACGTTTCGGCAACAGCATTGTCACCATCATCAGACAAAAGAATGAGAAAAAATATTACAGCAAGTTCTTAAATAGTACTGTTATCAAGTGTTTAAACAAGATAACAGATAAAGGAAAAATAGTTTTTTTAAGACAACTTGAAATATTATTGAAAAAATCCACTTTTAATTCTAAGAAGAATATTTCAAGTTGTCTTAAAAAAAAACTATTTTTCCTTATCTGTTATCTTGTTTAAACACTTAATTACAGTACTATTTAAGAACTTGCTGTGATATTTTTCTCATTTATTCTTTTTTCTGAAGATGGTGACAATTTTGTTGCCGAACGTCACACACTAATAAATCATTTGGGTTAGGTCTTATTTTCTTGTATTAAAAGTGGTAGGTATTGAGTTAAACCCCCTCCAAGGTCAATTCAGTTAGGAGAGTCAAGGATACTCAATGGTTACCTTCAGTCTTGGGCTGTCCAGATCCTGTAGTATAAAGGAATTGAGCCACTTTGAAAGAGGAAAGTCTTCCTAGAATCTCCGTCCCTGGAACAACCACGGCAACATAAGCTGGCAGTACAACTAGGTGGCCTTACACGGACTCAAATATAGTACCTTTTTTTTTTTGCTTATCCCTAGTACACGTGGTACAGGCCATGATATTCATGGTGGGTAAAGTAGGCGACTGGTTTTACTGTAAGAACACCACAGGTCTAAACATGTGAAAAGAAGTTCGACTTTACACTTACAAATGTGCCAGAGCCCCGTTTGGTTACTTGCACTCGGTGGTGGGGGATATAGTGCTTAGTTGATATAAGTGGCATTCACCAACTGGGGAATGGAATGGAAATAATTCCAAAGAACTAGAAACATAAGATAACAAGACCAAATCAATTAAACTGTGCATGACATTTCGATAACAATGCTGTTACCAATATGCCACACACATGCATAGTTTATATTGATTTAGACTTATTATCTTATGTATCTAATCAATAATCCAAATTGTACCTTTTACCATCAATAGGTTCAACAATCTAAAAATCCAACAAAGAAGCAAGTTTCAATGATACAAGATACTTTGGAGTAGAGTTTAACAAGTCAAAATCTCAACACATTAAGATATAATGGATAAAAGTTTGAATATTTGCAATGTGAGGTTTTTTTTTTAAATATATGTCATAATTTGTATAATATCCAAGGGGGGTCGGTGGAAGGCTGGTTAACCCATTCGGTTTTCGACCACTACGACCCGGGTTCAATTCTCGCAATGGACACTTTTTTCTGATAAAAAAAAAATGCTCCAATGGCCCCCGATTCTTGCAAAAGTCCAACCCCACCAGCGAGTGCAAGTAACCAAACGGGGCTCTGGCACATTTGTAAGTGCAAAGTCGAACTGCTTTTCACATGTGTAGATATGTGGTGCGCTTACAGTAAAAGCAGTCGCTAACTACCCAACATGATTATCATGGCCTGTACCATGTGTACTAGGGATAATTAAAAAAAAAAATAATGATAATAATATCCAAGATGTATAATTTCTTTTCGCCAAAATAAGTATGTAAATATGTTAAGCTTGTGTTAAAATGTAAATATGCAAATTCGTCCATCTATAAAAACTGTACAAAAATAAACGTGGCAGACATCGCAGACGAATGCTACGGCACGTCGCGGGTGCGCTGCTCAATTGGCTGGAACTAATTATTGATTGCATAACAGTTACACCCTTCCATTCAATCACAACATATAAACGATCTCTTTGTTATATACAGTAAAACCCCTCTATAGTGAACCCCATTGGGACGGGACTTTTGGTTCACTATAGCCACGGTTCACTATAGCCACGGTTTGGGTATTTAAATTTTATTTTAGGACATAATTAAAGGGCATACGCAAAAAAAAAAAAAAAAAAGGCTACCTCTTAATATTGGCTGCTTTTTTCCCCCTAAATTAACCTATTTCTATATATTAAAGCTGTATATTAAAATAAAAACAAAATCATGTGAAAATATTGCCTTTTTAATCAGTTCCTTTGATAATTTAATTAGTATAAATGCAACCTGCCCCCCATATGTCAAAAAAATCCAAGAAAAGTATACCTTATATATAAAAATTAAATAAAAACTTTATTAATAATATTTTAAAAGGTATAACAATATATTTTATATAAATAAATATTATATTACAATATAGGATACAAAGGCTTACTTGAAGAAGTCTGTTATTTTTTTCTGCTTTAACATATTCCTCAAAAATTTGGTTTCATATCTAGCAAAGAAATCTTCATTTTTTTAAATGAAGCCTAGCTTGTACTAACCACGTATACAAGGCTTCTAAAAGTGGATAATGACACTGACGATAGCGGCAATAGTTGGGATTGATTCCTCTTTGTAGCATTTTTTTTTTATAGTCTTCTTTTTTGCCCCATATCGTAGAAATGCTACTTTTGCTCATTTTCATTTTCTTCCGAAGTTCCGCTTGCGATGTACCACTCTCAATAGCTTTTATGATGGTTAATTTCTTTTCAAGTGATATCTTGGTACGAGCGACTTTTTCTTTGGCACTTCCATTATCTTTTAAAACTGGTTTTAATAATTTAAATCATGTTTTAAGGAATTTTCCTAGAGTTAATAAATTTAGTTTTCAATAAGGCATGAAAAATTTATAAAAGGGCGCAGTATAAAAATAGAACGTAAATAAAAACACCCAATGTCGCTAAATTCTTTGTTTTGAATTGCGATCTGTGAGCTAGAGCTCACACAAAATTTTAATTAGTTTTGAAAATTATAATTTTGGAATTTTAGAATTAAAATTAAAAGTTCGTTATAAGCATGGTATTTTTGATAGAATTTAATATTTTGGGACCAAAATTGGGTTCGTTATAGCGATAGTTCGCTAGTTTGAAAAGTGAAAAGTTCGTTATAACGATGGTAATTTTAATGGAATGGAATTGGGATTTTCGATGGGTTCGTTATAAGGGAAGGTTCGTTATATCCATGGTTCGTCTTAGCGGGGTTTTACTGTAATAACATTATAGAATCTAAACAACAATAATCTCCCTATAATACAATATAATGCGGCTTATGATTGTAAAACGACATTTGAAATACTATCCCGCATGTGTTTCTTTTCAATGAAAAATCAAAATTTATTTCAAGGAGAAATAACGACCATTTCTAACCTTTTGGATGAGGTATGAAAGGGTGAATTGTGAAGAGTAATGATATGTCCAGGGTAGCCTAGTGGACATGGCATCTGCCCGGTAAGCTGAACACTGTGGGTTCGATTCCCATTCCTGGACACTTTTATTTTTCCGTTTATCATTACTCTTCACAATTCACCCTTTCATACCTCATCCAAAAGGTTAGAAATAGTCGTTATTTCTCCTTGAAACAAATTTTGATTTTTCGTTGAAAAGAAACACATGCGGGATAATTTTCAAATGTCGTTTTACAATAATCTCCGCTATGGATGAAGAAACACAGTTCAGGGTGAAGAGCTTCTCTATATAAGATTGTGCATGTACCCGTAGAAGGACGTCTTGCCTAAAATCTTGTACAATCATTTTCTTATAATTCTTCCCAACCTGTGTTTCTTCTATTATAGAATCTCCCAGTAAAGGACACCTAATTGCAGAGCCAAAGTGTCCTTTAGGTGTCCTCTTACTGGAGAGTTACTAATTAGTAAAAATGGTAATTTTGCAAATGAAAACTGTCCTTTGTAGAGAGGTGTCCTCTAGCACGAGTGTTCTCTCATGGAGAATGTTCTGTATATAATTAAATTAACATGGCTGTATCCAAAACTGAAAATATAATTATGATAATTGATATCATTTTTCACAAAAAACTTTGTTGGCTGTCATTCTAGATTCATTTACAGCATTGTGGGCCCAGTCAATAATTCAAAATGACTATATTGGGGCCCAGTTTAACAATTCAATATTCAGTAACAATTTTTAACAAAATAAACTTTTTACAACCATTAATTTTGACTAAAAAACAATCAATTCTTTTAGGTTTTTTTTTTCTTATTATTATAAAAGTATCATAGGTGATAAGGCACAATTTGGATTATAGATTATAAACACAAGGTAATAATACCAAATCCAAATAAATAAATAGTGTGCGACGTTTCAGTAACAACACTGTTACCAAAATGTCACAAACTATTTATTTATTTGGATTTGGTCTTATTACCTTGTATTTTTAAAAGTATCATAGATAAGTATAAAGAAAATGAGAGTTTTGGGGAAAGACAATTTTTAATAAAAAAAAAAGGGGGGGGGGGGGGGAGAGGAAGGAATTTTTATTTATTGAAACCTATAATAATTACCACACACACACACACAAAAGATGGTTGATAAAAATCTATAAAGGTAGAGAATACAAAAAAAAAAGAATTAAAATACACTGGTGTCCAAAAAATAAGAAACTTAACCAATATTGGAATTTCTTAAAAGCTAATTTATTAACAAATTTAAAATTTAGTATACAAATAGTTTAAACTATGGAGAATTTGACTAGATATATGAAAATAAAAATAAATATTTGAAATTATGAAATATGAAATTATTACCAACATACCCAAAGCTAAGGTTCCAGATCTTAAAGAAATAAGATATCAATAGGAAGTATGATCACCTCTAACAGCTATCAAGGTCTCACAGCGAGCCCTCATACTGTTTACCAGGCTTTGGAGGAGGTCCAGGGGTAGTAAACCCCACTCCTCCAATAGAGCAGTTCTTAGCTCAACGAGGGTTCTGGGAGAGGGGTGACGAGCACCAATACGCCTCCCTAGAGCATCCCAAACATGCTCTATTGGATTCAGTTCCGGAGATCTGGCTGGCCAATCCATCCTTCGAATATTCTCACTCTGGAGATATTCATTGACTAGCCTAGCCCTATGCGGACGAGCATTATCGTCCATAAAAATTGAATTGTGATCAATTTGATCTCTATAAGGTCTTAGATAGGGCTCAAGGATCTCGTCCCTGTACCTTTGGGCAGTTAAAGTGCCCCCAGAATAAAATGTGGAGGGGTGTGCGTCTGCTAGAACTGATGCCAGCCCAGACTAAGAGACTGCCCCATCTAAAACTGTCTATTTCCCTGATGTTACTGGGATGATAGCGGGTTCCAGGCTCCCTCCAGATGAAAACTCGTCGAGAATCTGTGTTTAAACTAAATCTTGACTCGTCACTGAAGAGAACATTGGCCCACTGATCATGAGTCCAGGCGTGATGTTCCAAGCACCAATTCAAGCGGGCTCTCCTGTGAGCAGAGGTTAAAGGGATACAGACCATTGGTCGTCTTGCATAAAGAGCACCTTCGTGAAGCCTTCGGTAAACAGTTTGTCTTGAAATTCACGTTCCAGTAGCACTTGAGAGTTCATTAGAGAGTTGAATAGCTGTCATCTCCCTATGGCGCTTGGCAGTTACGACCAGATAACGGTCTTCAGAGGTAGCTGTTTTTCTTTTTCTACCAGAACCTTCTTTTCTTTTGATGGTTCCTGTCTCAATGAACTGTTTCCATATTTTGCTGACCACAGATTTATTCACATTTAGCCATTTTGCTACTTCAACTTGTGATTGCCCTGCCTCCATTCTTCCAACAGCTCTCCTTTTTAAATCAACTGCTAAAATTTTTCGTAAACTCATAATTAACTAAGGATTAAATAAAATTATAATTGGACAATTCTTAGATGGGGTAAACGACACGCCAAATAGCACACTTATAAAGACAAGCAAAAATTTGCATATTTTCAATTTTACCAAATCGAATGGTTGCGATAAATAAATTCTACGACTTAAAATACCTAATTAAAATACTTTTTAGCTTTTAGCGTTGTATATTTTAAAACATATCATTTAAAAACAAAAGTTTCTTCTTTTTTGGACACCAGTGTATATTTCTTTGTACAGTAGAACCTCCATGATTGGAGCCAAGTTCAACACAAATATAACAACAATGGGTTCCATTTCTCAACGAATGAAAATAAAAATTAAAGCACAGTTCAACAAAAAATGGCAACAATCTAAAAATCAACACTGGGTCCATTACATGACCTATATCGGCCCCACACTCACCAATCCGGCCTAGTCCAACAATCCCCACGGTGGCATCCTGGAGGGTGGAGCCACACAGCCACAGAGGGCCGAAGCGGTACTTCGCCCACTCCCCGCTGTAAATACACACAGGCTCCAGTAACTACAAGAAAACAAGATTAAAGAACCCTCCCCAAGTCCTTGCATAGCAGGGAGGTGATCCTGGGCAGGACAGTAATGCTTGGAGTCTTAAACTTCTGGTAGGACCACCCTAGGCATGAAGGCTGTCTTACTAGGTCTAACTAAATGTTAACAGACAAAGAAGCAAAGTTATATTTCTACCTTTGTGTACCTAAGATGGTCCCATCAACAGGAAATGCATCCAATTACTCTGCATGGATTCTACTCTTCTCACAGAAAAGAGTGAACTTCTAGTCTAGGGAGAGATAAGCACCACCCACCAGATTAAAGAAGAGTGTGTTTAGAAGAAGGGATCAAAACTAACAGCAACAAATTTCTTTATTTGTGCGATATAATCCTGACAAGCTTTCAGACTATGATGTCCTTTTGTTGAAGGACGTCATAAAGGATGTCAAACAACCACCTCCAGGAACACCTATATTTTTTAGATAGTCTCTCAACAAACAGATTAATTTATATGCAAACAAAACGCACTTTACAACCAGGGGTGAACAAAATTGCATATGTCTTCTTCAAAAAAAGTAGGTGATATCAAAGACTTCCATTTCCTAAGTTTTATGAGTGTAGCCACCAAAAGTCAAATTTGACTAGATGGACAACAGCAACAACAATAGACTAGGAGAGTTAGAAACCTGTGTTTCTAATAGACTTAGAAAGAGAGAGAGAGAGAGAGAGAGAGAGGGAGTTTTACTTGGTGATTTGCTCAGAGGCCTCCTTGAAGCGACGTGCAGCTGAGAGAAGAAGGCCAACTGCCTGCTCAGCTACGGCATCCGAAGGAAGGTTTGGGGTGTAGCCCACTTTGATTCCTCTGAAACCCAAAGTATCTGGTTGATGGATACTAAACAGGGGGGAACACATGGTGAAAACTCGTAACTTCACTTGACATTACTCTATAGCGTTCAGTACAAGGAAATTGAAGAACTGAATGATCTTACATTACACATTTCCACACATTCACTTTCAGCACTATGTCAAGACACTTGGGTTAGTAAAAGTTTCCCTGAGAGAGAGAGAGCATCTAATGTAGACTCAGACTTAAAAAGGAGATTTTTCTAACCAAGTTTCTGGTATAATTTATCCTTTTTTTTTTCCACTTGACACAAAATGGGCTCTACAAGCTTAATACCCTGATATGATTGAGTGGAGTTAAGAAAGAAGAAGAAGCTATTATAATGAAATTCCACTGTATTTAGATGAACACTAATACCTTATGTTTACATAAAAATCAATTCATCAATAGATGGAAATGAACATTAAACAGAAATTCAAGAAACATTTCCAACAGTAATCGATGGGCATGGGGAGATATTGCTACCAGGTTGTTGGCCCGAGGAGATAGACAATGGCTATTTAGGTTATCTTTTATCTCAGATAGGGGAAGAGCTCCAGCTGTATAAAAAGGATGTTGAGATTGAGTACAGAGTATGGTGCAATTTGTTTTAGAGATACGAATCACAAATCCAAGAAACTCATGGACAAAACTTATGGAAATGGAAAGTCATCTTTTTTTTTTTTTAAGGAGACAGAGGAAATTTTGTTCACACTTGGTTATCTTGTGTCTTCAATAAAGGTCACTGTGTATTAAAAAATCTATCAAAGTTAATGTCTGAATCCTGATATAAATGCTAAAAGGTAAAACTTCCTTAAGTTTTGTCCATGAGTGTAAGTCAATTATAGTGACGTTTAATTAACACAATACTGTTATTGTCATTTATAATTTACTTATGTTGATCTGTGCTTGTTATCATGTGAATAAATTCCGCATTTGATGCTCCCAGGCTCAGATGAAAAAGGAGGAGGGGGAGTAGCAGGTACAAAAGCTCATATATGCAAAAAATAATAAACTGGCTGATAGAACCCTGTAAGGGCTCCAGGGATACAGGATGAGCAGCATCTGTAGTCAAAGTTAGAAGAGGCTGTACATGGCAGCTGATCCTCAGGTCAGAGATGGCTATTTCATATGGGAGCTAAGTCAGTGGCCTGCTATTGAGAAATGCTCTAGTCTTAATGACTAAAGCAGATGCATTTTACTTCAAAGATAAGCAAAAGGAAGATCTTGT